TTTGCTTTGGATGACACCATGGGCTACCCAGCTGTCCCAGGCAGAAACCTGGACATTGTCCTAAATACCTCCTGTTCCTGCACCATCGACATTTAAGTAGTGCACATTCAGTTCCATGCTCTCTCAACTCTACCTCATGGAGACCACGCAGACATACTCCTTTGAATCCTCTCGCTGCTGCCTGCCTTGGACCCACCTCATTTTCCTCCTCAGTCACTAAAATATCCCCTGCCTCTTGTCCCCTTCTCCATGTCACCCTGACACTTCTGCTAGGGTCTGATTTCTAATAAGCAAATGTAAGCAGGTCGCTCTGCTACTAAATGCCTTCAACAGCTTCTATAAACGTCAAATCTTTCACAAAGCCTAGCATCTGCTTTTCCCCTCTCCAGACTTCTTTCCCATGTGCCTTTGACACTCGAGCCATAGGGGCGTTCAGTCAATCTGTCCCATCACCATGCTTTCATGCATTCTTTCCCCTCTGCGCAGAACACCCTTCCCTCACCTTATAGATTTGGCTAACGTTAATCACGCTTCAAGACTCAGCTCCAGGCCTGCCCTCCTCAGGAACTTTCCTTGACTTCTCTCCACTTTGTATTAGGTTCCTCCTTGGTGCCTGTCCTGACCCAGCTCAAGTCTCTGAAGATAAGAGATTTTCATAGCCGTACACCTGCATCAGGTACCTGTTTATTGTTCCTGTGACAGGGACCCCCCTGAGGCAGGTACAGCCTCTTTTTTTCTCTGTCTCCCCAGTAACTAGCCCCAAGCCTCTCTCAGCAGGTGCTTAAAAGTCAACTGACTTGATGAGGACTAAAGTAAAACCTATTTATTAAGTCTTCCTTCCTTTCTGCTCCCATAGCACACAGCCACATCACTCATCAGCAGTGCTGGCCTTTTGCGAAGTCTTTGGGTGTTGTGTCTATGCATCATTTCTGATGACATGATGCTAATATGAGGGGCAGATGTGCTTCCTCCATCAATGGACTTCTGCTCTTCTATATTCTCTCCTCCTTTCAGGAAATTGTGGGAAAGTCTTTTTTTCCTCTCACCTGAAGGCTTTGCGTGAGAGAAAAGGTAAGAGAGCACATTCCACTCATGTTGATGCCGAGGGGAAGGAGGATATTATAATTGAGTATCGACTCGGGAATCATGAATCTGGGATTCTTCCCCTGGGAAACGTTACAGTGACGTTTTTGCAAACAAGGACAACTGAATTTAGAAACCACAATCAGGATATCTGATCCAAACATGTAAAACCAGTAGCCTCCACGGGGCATGTGAAGAGGGGAAACTCTCATATTCCTGTTGTTTCCCACTTCTGTTCATTAATTGCTCCTGGAGTAGCTAATCCCACTCTTGGTTTAGCCTGAGATTAGTCTGAGATCCCTACCCTGAGGGACATCCAATCTGTGCTTTGGAGCTGACTTACATCTTCAGGATGGGTATTTACTATAAAAGGAAAAACAAAGCAAAGCAGGCAGATGATGTTAATCCTCTGAGAGCACAAGTTGGTCTACTTGGGAGAGAACTTAGTGACGATCCCTGACAGGGCGTGCTGACACCAAGACAAAAGAGGGAGAGATCAATGTCTGTGAAAATCTTAAAAAGAAGAATGCTGGGCCGTGAGCTTTATTTCACACTTTTGACCCAAGAGGCACATTCCTAAGGGACAGTTTGTAGCCGAACCTGGCAGGTTGTCCAGATGAGAAGGAAGGAAGAGATGAACAGTGTTTCAGCAAGGTATGCAGAGCTGTTGGCAAGAAAGATGAATTCATACTAAATCCAGCTCAATTATGGTGACTTTTTATTCTTTTCCCAAGGTGTAGGGGAGGGCTGACATGCATCTTCTGGAGATTTGGAACGCCTCCAAATTCGACTACAGATACCTTGTTGTTTTTGTAAACTAGGTTTTCTTAAAAAAATGTAGGAAAAGAGCAATTCAGTGATGGCATCCCGAGGTGGACCGGAAAGAAGCCCCCAAGGGCCAATAATTCTGCCAGAGGGCCTGGTCCCAAGAAAGAGATGTGGATTCAAGAGGAAGAGCTGGCTCTTTTTAGAAGCACTTCCTTAGAATTCATATTTCATTTCCCAGAAAGCATGAATTAATTTGGAACTTAAAACGGGTGCCCGCTCTTGGAGGTGGGAATCCAGGGACAACCTCTTTGGCTGGGTGTGGTGAGGGCTGCTTCCTGGGTGCATCCTGGGAGGCCATCCTGCATAGTCTCTGCTGACAGAGTTGAGCAGTGGCCTTCTTGAGAAGACCTCTCCAGGCATTGCCAGGAGGTGGCTTTTGGCCCCCAACTCTGGATGCTTAACTGTTTTGGGGTATGGACATGTCTACTGCTTGACCTATCAGCTGAACTGCCAATATACTTATCCCACAAACAGAATCCTTCAATGTTTCTCATGTCTTCTTTCAAATATATTTTGCACTTTGCTTTGCTATGAACTTTATATTTTGAATCCCAAATCAATTCGTTGGGAGCAAGCAGTTCAATAGGTCAGCAGAAGGTGGATATACATAGTAAAGAGTTCACTGGTTTGTCTGGTCATCAAATAGCTTGTTTTCTGGCCATATCCCTTAGGCCTATAAAGAAACTCTTGGATAGAAGAGCTTATCTGGTTCGCTTTCTGACTGAAGAATCTCTGAGGAGACAATTCTTATCAATTCTGAAGAAAAGAATAGAAGAAACTTATATATGGGATATTCCTTGAACTTTGATTTTGGCTTTTATTCTAATGCAGCTGTAAGAAATGTATTCAGGTTTTTCTAGGAGGGCACTTGTGGGGATGAGCACTGAGTGTTATGTGGAAACTAATTTGACAATAAACTATTTGTAAAAAAATAAATTAAATTAAATTTCTACTCCTAAAAAAGAAAAGAAAAGAAAAGAAATGTATTCAGGTTTTTCTCTCATTCATTTCTCTTTAAAAGCATGCTTGCAGGGCACCTGGGTGGCTCAGTCAGTTAAGCATCCGACCTCAGCTCAGGTCATGATCTCATGGTTCGTGAGTTCAAGCCCTGCATCAGGATAGCTCAGAGCCTGGAGCCTGCTTCAGATTCTGTGTCTCCCTCTCTCTTTGCCCCTCACCTACTCGCGTACTCTCTCTCTCTCAAAAATAAATAAAAACATTAAAAGAATGCTCTCATCATTCTTTTCTCACCTCAACATGACAGCACACAGCATACCTTTACCTACTTTGGGAGAATGTTGAAGGTGGAAAGAAAGGGAGGAAGGAAGGAAGGAAAGTAAGTAAAAGGAAGAAAGAAAAAGAAAAGAAAGCAAACCTCTTATAACCAGACAGGACCAGCATTCCTCTCTGGGAGAGGTCTGTATCCTGAGAAGAGCTTTCCCACAGGACCCTCCTCGCCCTTGAGCACAAAGGCCAAGGCCTCCTTCCCACAGTTACCAATTAGAATAGCACATCTGCTTTCTCAGAAAAATGCCGCCCAGACACTCCACTTCGCCTGGGAAGAAGCTAGTCCAGAACAGTGGCTGACCTGCCTCCCTTGGTCCCTCAGGTGCTCGGGTGCCCCAGTGACAGATGTCCTTCAGGCTTACCTAAAGCCTGGCTGAGCCTCACCTGCCACCCGTCACCTGGGGCTCAGCCGCTTGAGCCCATAACCACGTAGCGTGGACTCAGAAGTGAGTTTTGCTACATCTCCAAAATTATGACACGTTCCCTTGAAAACTGTGAAAGAGAAAGAGGACACGCATCCCCTCCATGCCAAAATGAGCCATTGTTTGTGCTGCCTGTTAAACACCTTTAAAGACCCACTTGTATCTGCAGAAGAAAGCATCAAGACACATCCCACTCACTCTGGGCACTCATCACGGGGTGGGGGTGGCTTGGGGAGCCCACAGGCCTGCGGCTGAGGGAGAGGAATGTTCAAGGAATGCACTTCATTCCCCTAGTGGACAGGCTCCATGTTTCAGCCTGGTGCTCTCTCACAGCCCGCCCCTGGGTGGTCGTGGGCATCTTTCTGTGCCATACTGTCATGGCGGCGAGGGGACTCTGGTAGACAGCCTTCTGTGTTAACACTGTCCCCCCTTCTTGGGGGGAAGGTCAGAGACACAAACCTTAGCACCATGGATGCCAGCAAAGAGGGCGCTCCAAGAGCCACCCCCCGCCCCAGCACTATATTTCCAGAAGAATGGCTGGTTATTGTTCCTCCATCGAAAATTGTTATTAGCGTCCCTGATGAGCATCCTTCCCTAAGGACTTCCCAGACCTTGAACAACTTAGCATCTAAAAATACAAAATGCACGTATCCTCTTTGAGCCTATCACAGGTAATTTGGAAATTCTCTATCTCCTGATGAGTATCTAACAAGAGGACAGATTTACAGGGCAATGTACAAACATTTATTTATGCTGCACAAAAAGGCCTTTATCACCTGTATGCAAATCTGTTATCAGGCTTAAAACACTGTCAGAGATTCTCAGTGGTATTTTTTTCATGTCCCTTAAACAGATGCAGAGAAAAGGGTTTAAAAGTTTCTTTGGATATCAAAGGAAAAGGGAGAGAGAAAGGAAACACTACTACGATTCTGCATTAAGAGAGACTAAAAAAAAATAAAAAAAAGGTACTGTGGTTTGTTTTGCTAAATTATTGACGGTTCCCTGGCCACGCAAGGAGGTAAAAGGTTGGAATAGCTGAGCGCCTTTACAAACAGGGCAGGCTGAGGAATGTACGTGCAAACAGTAGACCTGTCACCGTTAGCTGTGACTCATTTAATTGCCTACAAGTCCCTGCATTAAAAAAAAAAAAAAAAAAAAGTGTTGACCTCTCTTGCTTTGGCTCCTGCTTCCCAGGCTTCCCAGGAAGGGGAATCCCAGGAATGGTCAACCCTGAGGCTCTGCAAGGGATGGGTCCAATGCAGAAGCCTGGAGAGGGGGCGGGGCTGTTCTCTTGCTCACTACCTACCTCTCTTTTCACCCTTCTAACTCCAAACAAAGGGACGGACTCCGTTCCCAGTGGTTTCTCGTTCAGTCACTCACCTTTCATACCACTACCTTCTTCTTGGAATGTGTTACGAGCAGTGTTCTGATCTTCTAAGTGTTCACTCCCACCACTTCCTGAAGAGGCTACACTGCTTTGTGGAGACAGGGGGGCATGATCGGATGGGAGGCACTGGGGTCCTCTAGCTCGTAAGTCCTCATGAGACATCCATCCATGTCCTAGAGGCTGGTTTGGCACATTCATGGGTGGGGTAAGGGACACAGATCGTTTCAAAGGGCTGTGGTGTGCCTGGCCTGAGAGAACTGGAAAAAAAAAATAAAATGAAATAGGTTATTCCCCCCCCTTTAGCCTGGGCCACAGAGAACCCCCAATACCTTTTAACCCTGAGAGATGATGCTAACCTGTCTGACGACTCTATCGGTGGCCACCGCAGGCTGAATACAGGCCTGGCTGTCTGGACCGCGTGGTGGGTTGGGTTTCCCCAGGGAGGCTATGCCTACAGTGCCAAGCATCTGGCCTTGGCTTTGTGGGTCAGGATCTGGTTCTCATTCTAACTCTAGAAATCAGGATTTGTGGCAGTAGGCCTATAAATCAGGTGAGGCTTGGCGGCCTGGCAAAGTGGCTATTTGCCAAGGGGGAAAAGAACATGTGCTGCACATCTTTTTTCTTTTTTTTTTTAAACACACAAAACCCAGCATTACCCATGTCATTAGGGTAGACTCTCGGAGGGCAGGCAGGCGGCTGCTCACCATTTGGGATCTTTGCTGGGCTGAGCTGAGCTAGAAGGCAGGCTAGTCCTTCCGTCCATGGAATCAGGGGTAACTATCGCCTCTGAAAGGGCGCAGCCTCAGCGAGGGCTGCTGTACTAAACCAGACCTCAGGGTACATGTGGGACACTGGCCGCTGTGTGTGAAAGGGCCGATTCTTTCCCTTGGCTTCACAGGTTAATGCCAAACTTCATCTTGAAAACACTTCCAGGTAACAAGGCTTTCATTCAGAAGCCAGCGGGGTGCGCTCAGTAAGCCAGGGGTGGTTTTTACCAGCATGTTTAACTCTTCCGCACGGTGGGCAACATCTACGTAGCCCCCGTCTTAAATTTCTTTTCCAGAAAACTAGGAAAAAGCAACAAAACTCACATAACTAGCCAAATTGAATGGAGGTCATTCGAGGGAGGGATTTAACCAAAATCAACGCCGAGGGAGCCGACGGTACCCTTGGTTGGTTTTTCTGGGCGTGTCAAGTGACAACTTCACAAAATAAGTCTATTCATAACACTCTCTCCAAGCACTGGTCCCTGACAGGTCCAGTTTATTTTGACTGCCGCAGTGCTAACATGGAATCGAGCCACATGCATTTTTAAACATTTTTCAGGGAAGCCATTAAGTTCCATCTCAGGCCGTATCCCCTACAGTGAGGTACTTGCTCTCCCAAGTCCAGACAAGCGCTTCTTTGCTGGTGTTAATCTCTGTGTTTTGCAGTCCGCAGACCTGACATCCCAACGTCAGAAGTTCTGTTCTTCGTTAAACTGCATTTCTGGTGCGGGAGCACCCACCACACAAAGACCTGAGCAGATTACCTTGCCCCCATTTGAAAGATAAAGACCAGCACCAAAAGGCTGGGTGTTCCCAAAAAGTGTGTTTGGGCAGTGGTGGGGTGGGAAAGTAGCTTATGGTCAGCTGGCATCAACCAGGCCCTGAGAGCAGTGAGGCTCACATCTCTCTTGTCAGTGTTTCTATGTGGTTTCAGATGGCCAGAAGGGCAGTGTGTGAAAGGGGAGCAATCAGAAGGGCTAGAAACTTCTTTATTAACCAAATAGGGAGGGAAAGAGGGAGCTGCCCAGTTTACCATTTGTAACCCAGTAAGTTTCTACATTAGGTAAATTCTATCAAAGGCAAGGAATCATCATCGAACTTTAAAAAATGCGAAGGGAACGTTGTTTAAAAAAAAAATTTTTTTTTACCCTAACAGGCTGAAATAGCTTTCCTTTCTTCTAAATAGACTAGGGAAGAAACTATTTTAAAAGGCACCCTGGAAAATGCATTGCTACCTGGTTGGATCAGAAGTAGCAAGAGTAAAAGAAAAAAAAAAAAAGCAGAAAGAAAAAAATAAATAAAAAGGAAGCAGCAGCAAAAATGAAGACAGAAGCCAATAGAAAGAAAAGCCAGACATCCAGAAAATCCATTTCATGCCTGTCTAAGTATTTATATAAAATGGGGCAGACTTGTTTCAGCCTGCACCAAGTGCTGGGATGGTCCAGCGTAGACATCTTTGCTCCCTGCTACCTTGGCAACCATTTCAGAGTATCTGGTGGATGCTCCCAATGGTGCCAGCCAAGTGGGCCTTGAGTGGAACTGGGGGCTCCTCTTCATAGCCTGGATTGGAGTAAGCCAGAAACCATAAAAACAGGCCTTGCCAAAGGGAGACACACAGCTTTGAAGTGGCAGAACCCTTAGCACCTAGCCTGGTTTGAGGTGACACGTAAATCTATAATCATGGGTAGTAACCCTGCTAAGGGAGTCCCCATCTTGGGATGCTGAGAACAATACCCCACGTATTGAATAAGCAGTTGAAGTCCATTGTTGGATGGAGCCAATTTGCTTCTTTCCATCTCAACTTTTCTTAAAAGCCAAGTTACCTCCCCATTGATGGGCATTCTTGGAAAGGCTGTCAATATCCAAGGAATCCCCTGGTTATTGAGAACGGAACAAAGTAGGTACCTAACTTAATGGGACTTAAAGGGATTTATTCACAGAAACCTCCACCCATGTCTTCATATATTCCTGAGCTTGACTGACATCACAGGGGATGTGGTATGAACTCGGCCTCTACCTCTCATAAAAAATCAATTATACCTGAGGTGCCAGAGCCTTTTCGCAGTAACTTTCTGCTGAAGGCCCCACCCTGTCTGTATCATAGAGACGCCTACAGCTGGGCACCAAAACAGAAAGATCTCCTTAGGAGCCAACCTACTGTTGCAACCAAGCAAAATGCCTCACACTAAGCTTCTGATTTGCAGAGAGGGCCATGCGTGTAGACCCAGGCTGGATGCCACACTGAAATAAGAGTGAAGTCATGTTGGGCAAATGCCTCATTTCTGCAAAGAGAACCAAGGCCCCAGGCAATACAGGGTTGGCTTCCTCTGGGAAGGAGACAGAAGCGGGTGATGGGTGACCTGCCAACAGCACCATATTGGGGTGAAGACAAATCTTCAGGTAGAGGTGGAAGCCTTGACCACAAAGCCAATTTTTGTGTTATTCCATGTGCTAGAGCACTTTGTTCGGCACGGAGTAGCAGAGGAAATAATAAATGCCATGGGCAGAGTGCAAGAAGACAGGCAGCACTGCTGTGGAATTAATGAGGTGGCCACTGGCAGAGAGAGTATCGATGACTGTCCCATCAATCCATTTTTTTTAACCAAAAGAACTCATCTGAAGTGGTGATAAAAAGAGGGAAAATGGATGTTGAAATAAACACATAAATAAAATTCTTTTTCCTGTGAGTAGGGAGGGAGAGCAGTGAAAACAGTCTTCTGTGTTAGCTGTCCCAGAAAGACTCTAGCTAGAGGCAGACCTTTCGAATGTTCTCGCTTGTGGGCTGCTATGCACCAGACAATGGCCAATGCTCCATTCAGACTTAAGGTGCCCCCAGGTATATTCGAATGTGGCAGAAGTACACCTTGAAAGAAAACAATCTCAATATAGATTAGAAATTGGCAGTTTCCAGCAGAATTGAAGTCCTAAATTTATATTGTATTTGTGACTTCATCGTAGTGAGGGAGGAGGGGGCAGCATGTTTCAGGGTAGACTCATTATATTGAAAATGCTACTAAAAATTACCCAGGGGAACAAAGCTGTGCCTCTTTTTGCTCTTGAAAAACTGAAGCTAAAACTAATACTGTGTACAGTATAGATTCAATATTGCTTATTGAAGGAAATATAGATTCAATATGGCTTACATTTTATTACAGGAAATGTCCGGGATGTACACATATATATGTGTGTATGTGTATGTATGTCAATAGAATACTGTAATCTATGGAGTCATTTGTGAGTTCAAGTGAACCAAAAATTAATATCTATTGAATAGGTCTAGTTGAAATATGGAAAAAGCATCTAAAACTAATCTTGCTACAGCAGTAGAGCTGTGTGTTGTGAGTACAGAGGGTCTTCCAATCTGGCACTAAACTCTGTCTTACCATTCTTGGCTAGCCAACTTCTCTGACCTCATGTAACCTCATGATTTCTTTTTCATCTCGAAACTATCTTTAATGAGACTGCTTTCAATGTCTTTCTAGAGGAAAATACAATACCTGGCTCTGGGTTCTGTTCTTTGAAGTATTTTCTTGAAAGCTTGGAAATCAGATTTCTTACCCCTTTACTTTGACCAACCTTGACTTCATCTCAATTTTAGTTACTGAAATAAAATTCAGTAAAAGACTTTTGGGATAGACTCTTTTAAGAAAATTAGGTATAACTATTTTTTCTGCTTTCTAATGTGATAGAGTTTGTAGAAAGAGGAAGTTTGGGGATACTGGCCCAACTCTCTCTCTTTGGTTCACTGTCAGGTTAAGCATTATACCTCACAGCTGAGAAGATGTGATCCCCATAAGCGAGCTGTCCAGATAACGGAAGCTCCACTGTTACACTGAAACTTTATCCTGACAAATTTTAATGGAGACTTTCAAAGATGCTTGCATACTTTCCTGTTCTCCCCAAACTTACACACCAAATGCAATTTATGCTTTAAAAATTACTGTTATGGGGCACCTGAGCAGCTCAGTCAGTTAAGCGGCAGCCTCTTGATTTCAGCTTGGGTCAAGATCTTGCAGTTTGTGAGATCGAGCCCCACACCAGGCTCCACACTGACATCAGGTGCGAAGAGCCTGCTTTGGATTCTCTCCCTCCCTTTCTTTTTGTTCCTCCCCAGCTCATGCTCACTCTCTCTCAAAATAAAGAAATAAAACTTAGAAAAAAATTGTTTTAAATTATTGTTATGAACATAGATTCATAGCATTTCAAAGCTGGAAGCCCCCTGGAAGGTAATTCAATAATCCCTAAATTATGAGCTGTGGACCCCTGGGTAGTGGAAATACTTTGAATTCCCTATATGCATCACACTTTGTTAATAGATGAAATACTGTGTTGCAAATAATTTTTATATATATGCAGAGTATTAAAGTTAATACAATATAAATTAATTTACATGTTGCTAAATTCATAGCTCTTTTGGCCATTTTTTTCCCTTTGAACAGATTCAAAGTGCAAATCTTGTTTTATGGGGACCCCGTTTTTTTAATGTTACT